CCCAGGAGACTCAGGTTCGATCCCTGGATTGGGAAGATCCCCTGGAGAAGGAAATGGCGACCCACTCCAGTATTCTTGCCTGGAAATCCCATGGATAAGAGGAACCTGGTGGACTGTAATCCACAGGATCGCAAAGAGTCAAACGTCAAATGCAACTTGGTGACTAAACGTGAGTACGTGCCAAAAGCCCATGCTGAGTGTGTGTGTGTGTGTGTGTGTCTGGGGGGAATGAAAAATGCTTAGCCAGGCTATACTGTGGAGTGTGATGGAAAGCAGAGAAATTGGGCTAAAACCTTGCTCAGAGCCCAGTCACAATTTGAACTATATGTTCAGGTGTCTGGAATTTATCCTCATGGCAGTAGGAGAGCTGCTTCCTAGGAAGATGAGTTTAGCTGAGTTTAGCTGGTGTAAAAGAATGGATGGGATAAGGCAAAGTTGAAGACAGACCAGTTGAGAAGTTTCTATAGCAATCTGACTGGGAGAAAGCAGTAGCCCTAAGTTGGGAGAGAGACTGAAGGAATGCAGAAACCTGACTGGAGTGCAAAGATATTTAGGAAGGTAGATTTTATTTTTTTTCATTTATTTTTATTAGTTGGAGGCTAATTACTTTACAGTATTGTAGTGGTTTTTGTCATACATTGACATGAATCAGCCATGGATTTACATGTGCTCCCCATCCCGATCCCCCCTCCCACCTCCCTCTCCACCCGATCCCTCTGGGTCTTCCCAGTGCACCAGGCCCGAGCACTTGTCTCATGCACCCAACCTGGGATGGTGATCTGTTTCACCCTAGATAATATACATGTTTCGATGCTGTTCTCTTAAAACATCCCACCCTCGCCTTCTCCCACAGAGTCCAAAAGACTGTTCTGTACATCTGAGTCTCTTTTTCTGTTTTGCATATAGGGTTATCGTTACCATCTTTCTAAATCCCATATATATGTGTTAGTATGCTGTAATGTTGTTTATCTTTCTGGCTTACTTCACTCTGTACAATGGGCTTCAGTTTCATCCATCTCATTAGAACTGATTCAAATGAATTCTTTTTAATGGCTGAGTAATATTCCATGGTGTATATGTACCACAGCTTCCTTATCCATTCGTCTGCTGATGGGCATCTAGGTTGCTTCCATGTCCTGGCTATTATAAACAGTGCTGCGATGAACATTGGGGTGCACGTGTCTCTTTCAGATCTGGTTTCCTCGGTGTGTATGCCCAGAAGTGGGATTGCTGGGTCATATGGCAGTTCTAGTTCCAGTTTTTAAAGAAATCTCCACACTGTTCTCCATAGCGGCTATAGTAGTTTGCATTCCCACCAACAGTGTAAGAGGGTTCCCTTTTCTCCACACCCTCTCCAGCATTTATTGTTTGTAGACTTTTGGATAGCAGCAGGAAGGTAGATTTTAAATGAGACTTGGTGACTGACTGGAGGTGGGAGTCTTGGGCAGCGAGAAAGAAGAGGATGCTCTTTCTTGATCTAGGAAGCATAATAGTTATCTACTGGGGTGGACGTTCTTTTCAGTATAATTCAAAGAGTGTTAAACTGATCTAGGAAACCTTTACATTATCTGATAGCTCAGTCAATGCCCAGATGCAGGGGAAAGGAGAGGAATAAATTCAGAAGCGTGAACACACTCCCGTTTTGACTTTTCTCTCTCTGCGTTTAAATTTCAAGGCCAGGAGCATATGCCTCATGAGTTTGCGGGAGATTGTGATCCTGTAATCTTTTTCATTTTTCACAGAACTAGAGTGATGTAAACTTCCTCGGAGAAGGTGATTTTGCAGCTTCTGAATTAAAAGCTCTTCCAAGCCCACCTTTGGTTGAAAATCAGTGGTGTTTGGTATTTATCAGAAGCCCCCAACACTCATGTCCAGGTCACCAGTACTCGTATTTTATGCCTGTCACTTTGAGCCAAATAATTTCTAGTGGTCCCCAACTGCTAGGATCTCAAGCCCTTATTCTCTTGAACCTTCTTTAAAAAAAAAAAAAAAGAATCTTTTCTAGAAAAGCACATTTGATGCTGAATAAGTAGGATTTTCTCCTGAACATGTCATCCAGGTCATTAAATGGAAAAATGTGGTGTGTGATGCTACAAGGGCTTGTTGTTTTTAATACGTTTTAAATATAAAAAATCAAAATTGTCTGGGTTCTGTTAAAAGAATGTATAGCCAGAATGTTAATTTGATTATCTTCCTCGATTTTCCCAGGCTTTCATAGGCCAGCACTTTGTTTGAACAGCTGTACCCCTGTAAATCTCAGTAACAAATGAATCAAGAATAATTTTGTGGGGCAAGTCAGATGAAAGGGCCTTCCTAAGAAAGACAGGTCATTAAGAGAAGGAAGAAGGAAAGACTAGCAAAAATATGAGACGTTAAACAATTGTTTTTTTTAAGTAAAGCAATTTGCTTTCATAATTCTTTTCTGATAATGTTAAAATATACTGTCCTTAATAGAGAAAAATGCTTTATTTTCCTTTCGGGTTTTAATATTGGGTGGAAAGAGAATTTAAAACTAAAGTCAGTAGGAAAAGAGAAATGCTGAAAACTGAAAAGCATAAAAAATAGGATAGAGCAGTGTAGTCAATTTTCTATTATCTGTGATTTTCTGTCATCTATATGTGTGTTATCCATAAGCTGGGGGTTGAGGGGATTGAAGAGGAGTGGGTGAAACTGTGAAATCTGCCTGCCTCCAATCACAAAAGGATCAAATAAACATGTGAAAAGGTATTTGCAAGAACTGGAGGAGAGAAGGGCTTTTGGCTCTTAACATCTTACCTAGCAGATAGATCTGAAAGCAAAAAATAAAGCTAAAGTAAATTCAGGGAAGCATTGATTCACCCAACAGAATAAACAACTTAGGGGATTTGCTAATCTAATTAATCAACTCTTGCTTTTCCTTTCCAAGGTAGGTTTGCAGGCAGAGAAATAAATTAAATCAGCATTCCCCTCCTCCTCTTACTAAAAATAAGCTTGCTTGCCCTGGGTGACTCGGTCATTTAAATTCCCAAGGCTGTCCTCACCCCCTCCCCGCCTCCCCGCAGGCCACTGGCAGGAAGCTATTGTAAGGAGACAAAACCTGTGCTCTGCGGATTACTGAGTTTGCGTTTTCTGAGTATTATACCTTAGCTCTCCTACTTACCCTGAGGAATAAAATAAATATTAACAGGTTATTTTTAAAAATAAATGGTCTATGAATGATGTTGATTTGGAGATAAAGGAGCCAGTGACTCATAGATAGATCTTTTGTGAAGCTTAAGATCATATTGATGGTAGAAAAGAGTGTTTTGGGGGGGAGAGATCCTGGAAAATTAAAGATATTTAAAGTTTGAAGACAATTTTAAGTGTGAAAATCTAGACAGTGAAAGAGAAAAACAAATATCGTATATTAAGGCATATATATGGAATCTAGAAAAATGGTACAGATGAACCTATTTTCAGAGCAGGAATAGAGATGAAACCGTAGGGAACCGACACGTGGACACAGGAGTGGAAAGGGAGAGTGGGGCAAATTGAGAGATTAGGATTGACATATATGCACTACCGTATGTAAAACAGCTAGTGGGAAGCTGCTGTCTAGTACAGGGAGCTCAGCCCAATGCTCTGATGACCTAGATGAGTGGGATGGAGGGAGGTCTGGCGGGGGGGGGGATATATGTATATGTGTAGCTGATTCACTTCACTGTACAGAAGAAACTAACGCAGCATTGTAAAGCAATTATACTCCAATAAAAAAACTACTTCAGTTCAGTAGTCTGCAGACTTGGTACTTAATATTGCCCCTTCTTAACCTTAAACCTCTATAGTAAGATTTGGTTTAGATTGCGTGTATCTACGTATAATCATCTGATACACACATACATTCACCTAAACACAATATACAAAGAACCCTGAGTAAACAGGGAAAAAAATTAATCAAAAGATTGCAAAGTGGTGAATGACACCTTTTACACAAGTCAGAAAATATAATACAGGGATATCCTCGGTGACAAGTTAATTATGAGTGAAGACCGTATCACTAGGTTTTTATTGTTCAAAGGCCTGATAGCCGGATACGGAAATAGGAGGACAGCAGATTAGAAATGAGAAAGAAAACAATGTTTGCCTTAGAGTTCTGCTCACACTTGCAGCATTTCTTTGCCTTCATCATGATTTGGGCATCCTTCCAAGAAAGACTTAAGTACTTCCAGCTGACTTCTTTTTTTTTTTAATTTTTATTGGAGGATAATTGCTTTACAATATTGTGCTGGTTTCTGCCACACATCAACACGAATCAGCCACAGGTATACATATGTCGCCTCTCTCTTGACCCTCCCTCCCGTCTCCCACCCCATCCCACCCCTCTGTGTTGTCACAGAGCACTGGGTTGAGCTCCCTGTATCTAGGTTCATCAGTACCATCTTTCTAGACCCATACCTGTCTTAATATATGATATTTGTCTTTCTCTTTCTGACTTACTTCACTCTGTACAGTAGGCTCTAGGTTGCCAGGAACCTTAATCAACTTCTGGTCCCCCCCACCTTGAGGATCAAAGACTCCCCAAGGGTTGCCTTTCCCCACTTTTCCTTCTTTGATAGCCCAATTCTGATTCTTTCCAGTCTTGTTCACTCTAAGATATTATGCTCAAGGTTCATTTATATGCTCAACTAATCTTAATTAAAATGTAACAGAAGATCAGGGCACAATCAAATTAGGTTCTGAAAATACTTGAATAGTTGGGTGTCAGTTTAATGAATTAAGTAGCTCTTGGATCAGCTTCTCTTCCCAACATGTCTTAGTCTTGCTTTCACTTCTTTTTTCAAATTATTTTTTAATTTTTTAAAATCTTTTTGACTGTGCCACATGGCATGTGAGATCTTAGTTCCCCAAACAGGGGAACTAGCATGCCTTGCTCTGGCAGCATGGGGTCTTAGGCACTGGACCACCAGAGAAATCCCTTGCTATTATTTCTTAATACTCTTTTCAACTTCCATTTTGGATGAATGTTCTTTTTTAACTTACAGATGATTTTGCTATCTGGAAACTTATGCCCACGTCTTTGACTGCGGGTCAGAATTGCTTTCCTCACAGTCTGATTGGGAGAGTTGTTAAACCTTGGAATGTTCTTCTGAGCTGGGCTGTGGAATGTCATGTAAGTTACTAGCATTTTTTTTCCCCCGAATATGATGAATTTTCACATGTTGTAGGAATAGTTTGGGCAAGTCTCTGAAATTCCCCTCTTTTTTATTGAGGTGTAGTTGACATATAACGTTCTATTAGTTTCAGATTGCAGATTCAAACAACAAAATGATTTGATATTTGTATATATTGTAAAATGATCACAACAATATATCTAGTTAATACCTGTGACCTCACATAGTTGAATTTTTTTTTTGTGATAAGTGCTTTCAAGATTTACTCTCTTAGCAGCTTTCAAACGTACAATACATTATTATTAACTATAGTCACCAAAGCTATTTAATTTTCTAACTGAAATGTACTTTTTGACTGCCTTCACCCATTTTCTTCACTTGTCTGTTCCCAACCACTAATCTGTTCTCTATATCTATGAGTTTTCTTTTTCTTTTTTTTTTAAAGATTTTACATATAAGTGAGATCATATGGTATTTGTCTTTGTCTGACTTATTTCGCTTAGCATAAATATCCATTCATGTCATTGTAAATGGCAAGATTTCTTTAATGACTGAATACTCTTCCATTTTATGTATATAAAGCTTCCCTGGTGGCTCTGCCTGCAAAGCAGGAAACCCAAGTTCAACCCCTGGGTCCTGAAGAACCCGGCAAGGAGGGTATGGCAACCCGCTCCAGTATTCTTGCCTGGAAAATTCTGTGGGCAGAGGAGCCTGGCGGGCTATAGTCCTTGGGGTCACAAAGAGTCGAACACGATTGAGTGGCTAACACACACCCCACCCCACCCCCACATTTTCTTCATCCATTCATCCACCAATGGACACTTACATTATTTCCATATCTTGGCTACTGTAAATAATACTGCAGTGAATATTGGGTTGCATATATCTTTTGAATTAGTGTTTCCATTTTCTTTAGATAAACATTCAGAAGTAGAATTGCTGGATCATATGGCAGTTCTGTTTTTAATTTTTCAAATAAAATCCATACTCTTTTTCCATAGTTGCTGCACCAATTTACATTCCTGGGCTCCTTTTTCTCCACATCTTTCCCAGCAATTGTTATTTCTTGTCTTTTTGATAATAGCCATCAGACAGATGTAAGGTGGCATCTTGTGGTTTCAAATTTTATTTTCTGATGATTAATAATCATCTTTTCATGTACTTATTGGCCATCTGTATGTCTTTAGGAAAATGTCTATTCAGATCTCTGATACTTTTAAGCCTGTGAGTCCCAAATATACTACTTTTATTTTTTAATTTTAATTAAAAAAATTATTAACCTTTAGCACAGTATCTGGGCTTCCCAGGTGGCGCTAGTGGTAAAGAACCTGCCTGCCAAAGCTGGAGATATAGGAGAAGAGGGTTCGATCCCTGGGATGGGAAGATCTCTTGGAGAAGGTCATGGCAACCCACTTCAGTATTCTTGCCTGGAGAATCCCAAGATCAGAGGAGCCTGGCAGGCTATAGTCCATAGGGTCGCAAAGAGTCAGACAGTACTAAGGTGACTTTTCACGCACACGCTCACGGTATCTGGCACATAGGAAATCCAGTTATATATTATCAGGTCATTTACGTTCAGTGTTGCTCAATGGGTAACTTCTCATTGAAAACTTTTTAGTAAGGAGGCTCAAAAAAGGACACAGCATCATGCTAGAAAGTTGACAAGGACTGAATTTTTTCCCCCAATTTATTTGAGAAATAACCAACCTGTACCATTGTACAAGTTTAAAGTATTTTTATCTTTTTATTGTTTGGCTGAGCCAAGATATATGGGATCTTAGTTCACTGACCAGGGATTGAACCTGTGTCTCCTGCAGTGGAAGCACAGAGTCTTAACCACTGAACCGCTAAGGAAGTCCCTAAGTTAAAGGTTTACAACATAATAATTTGATACTGACAATATGATAACATGTTGCAAAATGATCACTACAATAAGTTAACATCCATCACATTATATTGTTAATTTTTTTTTGGTCTTGTGACAAATTGCTTTTGAAGCATTACAGTCTATACAGTTCTGGACACATTAAGACTTGATTAGTTCAACATATTGGCATTCCTCTTTATCCTTTAGGACAGTGGTCCCCAACCTCCAGGATCGAATGCTTGATAATCTGATGGAGCTGATATAATAATAATAGAAATAAAGTGCACAATAAATGTAATGCACATGAATCATCCAGAAACCACTCCCCACCCCCCGCCCCCTGTCCGTGGAAAAGTTGTCTTTCATGAAACTAGTGTCTGGTACGGAAAAGGTTGAGGACTGCGCTTTAGCAGACCATACTATAGAAACAGTGAACACTGGTATGGTCATTACAGTTATTCTTTTCTAACAATACCTAAACCCACTCCAGTATTCTTTCCTGGAGAAGCTCATGGTCGGAGGAGCCTGGTGGGCTACAGTCCATAGTGGTGCAAAGAGTCAGACACAACTGAAGTGACTTAGCACACATGCAACAATACCTAGTGTTATATGGAGCTCCCACATTTCTTGGTTCATCTGATCCTTAGAACAATTCTTTGAGATCTGAAGGGCAGTAGATTCTTTCATATTTTATAAATGCGGGCAACTTTCCCGATAATGTCAGTGACTTCTTAAGATCATGCATTTAATAAATCTAGCATCAAGGCCCAAACCCAAGTTTCCTCAGTCTAGGTCGATTGCTTTTACCTCTAGATTGTCATGGCTGGGATATTAGTTAAAGAAGCTGGGATGGTTTCAGCGTGGAAAATAAAAGATATGTGAAAAAGATGATCACTATCTTTACATGTTTCAGAGCCCATTCTGTAGGTGGGGTACTAATTAGCCTTATTCTGAAAATTCTCAGGGTAAAACTTTGAACGTTTGTTGCTTATGCCTGCTTTTATTTTGGCTTAATAAGGAAATTTTTTCTGATATGCAGGGAACCAGTGACCAGTTCTACCATGCCTTATGCGCTGCCCTCTGCTCACTTGCGTGCTTTATTTCAAGTTCTTCCCCATCTCATTCGTGATTCCTTGGTCATCTTTTCTACCACAGGACCTTTGCATTGCCAGGCTCTCTGCCTGGATTGCCTTTCCTCTTTCCCCACAGTTTTGCTTGGTTGAATCTCATGTATCCTTTTGGACTCCGCTTAAAGGTTGCTTGCATGGAGAAGACTTTTTCAAAGAGAATGAATGTTTGCCAACTTCACTGAAGAGTCAGGGTTCCTTATTGTAAGCAACAAAAAATGCACTTTGAGCAGAAATGAAGCTTAAGAAAGGATACTGAGACATTCATAGGAGAGAGCCTCCTTGGGAAGGCTAAAGAACTAGGCACATAGGTCAAATTTCAGGAACAGAGTCCAAACCATGCCAGCAAACTGGCCCAGAGAAGAATCTGTTGCCTGGTATGCTTCTGAACTGAGCACTCGATGCTGTGGTTGACCGTGTTACCCGGAAATCTATTTAATTGCCACCATTGCCAACAGTAGTGCTACTTGGGAACTCACTTGCAACCAGTGTTGGCCCCCTGAGCTGGAAGCCTCTGTTACCATCTTAACCAATAAAAGCAAATCAAATCCAATCCACACCAGTACGAGGTGTCCTTCATCCAGTTGGTCATATGTGAATACCAGTTTTGCAAGGGTGAATCTGATTGGTGGTGCTGAAGTCAGCCTACCTGCAAGCTGGCTGGAGAACTGAGCTTCTTAAGTTCTATCTTGGGAAAATGGGTCCTCAAAAAGCCAAAAATGACCCAGCTACATCAAGGGTGTTCCAAAGGTGCTGGCCAATCAGAAAACATGGCAAATGTCTTCTATACCAATTACCAATGTTCTTATCTATATTATAGGCCAATCATTCCTACTTCACAGGATTGTTATAAGGATTAAGGAAGGTAATTTAGGTGAAACTGCTTAATAAACCATATAGAGAGATATAAGTATAAAATAGTATTATTCTTTTACTATGATTTATATCTTTAGTCAAAGCTTAAAATTGAGTGCTTAATAAGTTGACTAATCTCCAATTCACTTTAAAGGTTTTTAAGATAGGGAGAATATTCTACTTTCTCAAAATGTAAATGTTCAGGAGAAATTGAAAAAAACAACTTGTTAAATCAAATAAATGCCCTCATAAATTTATATCATCTCTACATTTTTATTTTGAAATGGAATCATAGAAGATGACATGGAACATGGAGATGGTAGTTTTAAAATGTGATGAGTTTTCAGCTACTTTTTGACTTGTCTCTGAATTTTAAGTATTTGTTCTGCTTTAGTTTCTTTTTTTTTTACTCTGGATTCATCTTGAATACAGACCTCTTGTTCCAAACCAGACAATGGGCTTATTCAACCCTCAAGGGCCTCAACATTTGGTTGTTCTGATGTGGCCTTTCAGTGACTCTACTAGAGGGATTATTATCTTAGAAAAAATGTAGATGTGACAGCTGAGTTTTTAGCACAAGTAATAGCAGTTGTGTAAAAGAGGGTGTTAGTGTAAATGGCTGCTGCCGTTGCCAGATTTGCATTAATGCTGTTGCAGTGGAAATTAGTCACACAGTCAGTGGATGCAATTCTGGCCTCCCAGGTAAGCCTCCTCTGTAGAAGAGGTCAGTATCAGTGCACTTTCAGAGGAGAAGGAGCCAGGCAGGGCTAGTTTCTTCTTTAACAGAAACATTTCTCTGTATAATCATCAAGATTTTTGGATTAGGAGATGATTAGCTTTTCTTTTTTGTAAATATTAAAGTAATATATTGCTAGAAAAATTAAAGTACCACCCAGCTTTGCATTGTTGAAAATTGGGTTATAATCCTCAGATCGTTTGATTTCTGCCATCCTAAAGTTCTACTTTATTCAAGAATATGGAGAATTTTAAGATTTATGTGTTCAGATACCTTCTTACTTACGCAGTGCTTTATACTAGTTTGAATTGCCTCCTGAATTTCCAAATCGCTCATGTTGAATTCAGGGAAATTTCTTCTTAATTTTTTTCTCCACATCTTCCCATATGTGTACAC